TTGAGTCATTCACCAGCCAGCCACCCCCCATCCATTTTTCCTATCAGGCCTGACTTAGCTTCTGAAATTAGACATGACAGTGTTTTCAGGCTGACTCCTTGGTCATGAAATCTGGTACTTCTGAGACTTGAAGACCAAGCCAAGATCCTATCAGCTTCACCACTACAGTTATGCCAAAGGGGAGAGGCCAAGGTGAGGGTGTCAAAAAACAAAATGGCAATGGCAGCAGTGTTGAATGAGGAATAAACAGGCATGGGGAGCAATGGGAAATGGATGCTTCTGGCTCCAATGCCTGGCTTTTAGTGTGCGGGTAGATGGGGGGAAGTGTCCATGAAGTCAAGACAGTATGGGTGAGGCAGTTTTGAGAACAACCTTACAGTCAATTATCCAAGCCACTCCTCCCATACTACCTTGGCTCTCCTTCTCCCATCACTGCAGAGTCCCTTGGGTAGTTTGTTATTGCTGTATGTCTTCAAGTCATTTCTGACTTATGGTAACTCTAAGGCAACCCTATCATGGGCTTTTCATGGCAAGTTTCTTCAGAGGGGCCTGCCATTTCCACCTTCTAATGCTGTGAGAGTATGACTTGCCCAAGGTCACCCAGTGAGGTTCCATGACTGAGTGGGGATTTGAACCCTCATCTCCAGAGTTGCAGTCATAGTCCAACACTCAAGCCACTATACCACACTGGCTCTTCTAGAACAACTTGGGTAACAATCTGTTATATGAGTATTGTATCCCTATAGGATTGTAGACCAAAACATGTTCTTTTGGGGGGGATGGGGAGTCCCCTATCTGCATTATAGGTAGAACTTCAATATTTCATTTATTTATTTATTTAGCTACGTTTTACATCACTTTTCATTTTAAAAGAGAAATCCCACACCAATTTGGTTTTTGAAGGACTCCATGCACTCATTCACAGTAAGCCATTACATTTTGAGTGGTCCACAGGTGTACAAATGCATGTCTGAACCTCATGCCACTGGTCTTTTCTAAAGCATAATCATATTGTTATCAAAATGAGGGGCTCATGGAAGACTAATATGGCAAAACCTCTGATTCTGTCCTCCATGTCTCATCCTTGGTGTGGAAAGCCCATTACTGTTTCTTCAAAAGTAATTTCAAAATGCAAATAGGCTTGCTAACAGATTTTTGTCTCAGAGAGATTGTCAATTTCCATGCCCCATGCTCATTTATTTTTCATAAAGAATGAAATATGGGGCAGAGATTTATTTGTTGACAGTTATCAGCAGTAACTCAGCCTCAACACTGACCTAAATTTTCCCTGCTCAGAAGCAGTGAAGGAGAAAATAATGAAGGCAGTGTTATTTTGAAGAAGCAAAAACTTGAAATTGCCAGAATTTATTCAAGTTCCTTGAATGTCAGAGAGTTCAAGGACTTGAGTTTTAACATCCTGAATGGGGCAGCAAATTTGGATGTAAAGGATTTCACCTTGCTACCTATGTAGTTATTGCATTGCAAAGAAAGATCAATAGATCACCTCTTTTATCTGTAACAGAGAAGTATGAAAAGATATTTGAAAGGTATGGGAAAAAAATAACACCACTACACAAATTGCATGTTTCATCAAATGGGAAATAGATGTCAGTTCAGTCCTAGTTTAATTATAGTTTACACAACCATGGCTAGTATTCAGTGTGGGTAGTTTAGGCAATTGAATGTCTTTTGTCAGTGGAAACTTGAGAGGTTCCTTGCTTCCAAGTCTAGCATCCCAGAGCAAGAGACCCTCTGGAGCCAAGGTCTGGGGATGTGGGAGGAAATGAGGAGTATTTCTGTTGCTCTTGAAGACATTTAGTAGCCTGCAAGTGACGCCACACAAGTGATGTGACATCACACATAAACCCATGTTTTTAACACTGTGCTTACAATTAACACTTGAACATCAATTACCTGAACATCCATGATGTTGCCTCTTCCTTTTATAGCTTTTTCATTAGTTGATAGCCTTGGAGGAAATGTATCACATGTGATGTGCCCCATGTGTTAAGAAGGCATTTCAACCAAATGCAAACTTGACCTGATCTTGTTTAGCACCCAAAATTGGATATAATTGGGTGTTTTCAGAGTGTTATGGTGATCATACCAGCCAGCATGGTGCAGCAGTTTGAGTCTTTGGCATATGATAGCTCAAATTTCTGTCCAAAAGCCAGCTCTAAACTTAAAGATGTGAATTCTAAAGGAGAAGCTGAGGGAGCCACAGTAAAACTTGAAGTAAAATAAAAGATGGGAACAAAAGTTTAGATGTTTCTACACCAATGCATAGAGTATGGGAAACAAACAAGATGAGCTTGAAGTCCTAGTGCAAGAAGATAAATATGACTTTATAGATATAGCAGAGACTTGGTGGAATGACTGCCATGATTGGAATATAACAACTGAAAGATATAATCTGTTCAAAAAGAATAGATGGGAAAATAAAGAAAGGGGCATAACATTATATATCAAAGACAAATTCAATAGTACAGAAATCCACGTGAGTGATCAGACTGGACTAGTTGAAAGTATTTGGATAAAAAATAAATGGATAAAGAAGCAAAAACAACAGTGTGGTAGGAATTTACTAAAGGCCATCAACCAAGATGAGGTGGTGGATATTGCTTTTCTGAAAGAAATCTCAGAAATCTCCAAGATGCAAGAACTGGTAGTTATGAGAGACTTCAGTTATTTTTATGTCTGCTGAGACTAACCCTTCTAAGCATAGGCTCTCCAACAAATTTCTTATGAGTTTTGATGATAATTTTCCCTTTCAAAAGGTGGAGGAAGACAAGGGGATCAACAATTCTGGGTTTGATTCTAATGAACAGGGAGGAGTTGGTCACTGGGATGAAAGCAGTTGGTACTTTAGGATGAAGTGACCATTTTAATATTAGAATTTGTGATTGTGATTAATCCTACTGGTAATATGACTGTGTTCTGATTTACTACTGATTTTAGAGTAATGTAGAATTAAATGTAAATGAAATGTAAAATTTCTTCAGTGGCCATGATCTATAATCAGAATATCTTGAGAATATCTTGTCTAACTCCTCCCTGAATGTTTATGTTAGAAACTATCCATGGTGCTGAATTCAACATCACTATAAGGGAGTTGGGAATTCTGTCCAGGCTTTGAAATAAACTTGTTGAATTACTGATGGGGTCTCAGGATTTTGCTTTCAGAACCATTTATCTATTAAGCCCTGTGCAAAGGATGTATGAGCAATCATTTAAGTGAGGGCAGCTAGGAATACTATGAAGGTAGTAGTAGACAGTGACAATATGTGCAAAGTTGATATGATCCTTAGCATGTTAAATTAAATATCCTTCTCATGTTAAATTAAACATGCTTTAGACCATTGATTTCCAAACTCTGGTCTTCCAGGCCTTTTGAACCTCAGCTCCCAGATGCTTAAGCTATCTTGGCCAATGATGAAGGATTCTGGGAGCTGAAGTCCAAAACACCTGAAAGACCATCATTTGGGAATGATGCTTTAGACAAATGAGATATATCCAATGGGGGCATGCACTGATAGAAGCCTCTTTTTCGGTAAAGGGAGTTCTTGAGGTCAGGAACAAAAAGTCATCAACCTACCAGGACAATGTGTAAATATATTCAAAGTTGACTGAGTTATTTTGACACAAGAGACAGAAAATCTTGCCAAAACTTTTCTCCTATCCAATAAACATCCAGTAAAAATAAATGGAATGATGAACAATTTGCTGCCATTTCATGAAAAGTTGTATTTTCTTCTATCTAATGGTAGCAGAGGTCCTGAAAGCAATAAGATTATTGCAAATTGTCCCCTTCCTTCACCCACTGTAGCTGCTGAGACTTCAGAACTGGAGGGCTGGCAGGACATGGGAAATGGGGCAGAATGCTCACAGTAGGTGGTGGAAGGGTGTATTTAAAAGCAAAAAATTATTGGGTTATCCTACCTTAGAAATGCAGAAATTGAAATATGCCTAGGATTTCATGGCATTGCTGCAGTCCTGAGCACACAGCTGAAAATAAGTCTCACAAACTTACATCCAAGTAAGCCTGCATACAATCTGGCCATACAATCCATTTGCTGCTTTCTGTGGAGCTGAGTTGTGATTTTCTTTTTTTTGTGAGCCTGGATCCATGGCATACACAGGGAGTTACAAAGAGCCCTTTCTGTCTCTCTGAAATCTCCCATGTTTCAGACCATATTCTGCTTTTCAGAGATTAATCAAACTATCTGGAAAAGCCTAGATCATTTTCCAAAGCATAATTTTCTTCCAGGCCTGCAGACCATGGGTTTTCAACTTCACAGCTTTCAAACACACTGTTGTTTTCCCCCACCCCTTTCATGACATTTTTATTTAGAAAGCACTCTAGCTCTAGACAATGATAATTAGAGCTTTGAGACATTCTGATATCTCCCTAGGAAACATCACTTCTCGGCTGTGAGTTTTCAAGGAGTGAAACCAATAACAATATGGCTACCTCCTGGTACTCACTTCCCCCGCAGGTTACATTGGCAGGCAGCCTCTTCCCTCACATGCTGCACCTGGTTTGCCAAAACACTCCCATTTACTGTCATTTCTCATTTACCTCTACTGTGGCTAACTAAATGTTGCTGATTTCCACCTGACATTTGGGATTATTTTACCTCACGGGGGTTTGTTTGCCTGTCAATGAATTCCCTTTTCAGTCCACCATGTGTGACTGAATGGAAGAATATGGGGTGATTGGAAAAACAAATTGTTCTAGCACATTCCCCCATTCTATTGAGTCAACATTTGTGTGAGTAGAGAACACCAGCTCAATACCCCCTACATCTTCTCAGCATAGATGTAGGGAAGAGACTTCAACTCACTTCACTTCATTTCAATTCAATACGACCTCAGACATGGGCATCTAATCATTCATGATTATCACTTTTATCATTACACATTATTAAAGCTTGAACAAGTAGTAATGATACTGTTAAAGTGCCTGTTGGGTTACATCCAATGGGAGAAAGATACACAATTTGTGTAACATGTAAAGGGGGAAGATTGAAGGACATCAGAGTGATGAATTTGAATAGATACTTTACATCTTTATTTGCAGATTTGAAAGGGTTAGGGAAAAAATGGAAGAACTGTGCATCATATTCAAGAGACTTCTTAGCACTATGATTTCATAATATACACCAGTGGTTCTAAGATGGTAGAGTGTGACCCAAAAGGGAACAGAAGAGTTGTTCTAGGGGGGCACAAGAAATATAGGTTTGAATTAACTGACATCCAAACCAAGGAATAAATGCATCTCCCCCAAACCTCATTGGATCCTGGTTGAGCAGGGAAGGGTGAGAGGGGAGGGGCTCAGGCCAAACCAAACTGCATGCTCTGTTCATTTGGAATTGAAGTGGCCTCCACCTAACAGCCCTCCTCCTCCTCCTCCTCCTGTGGCAGAGGAGGAGCCAGCTGTGGTGTCAAGGAGGGGAAAGGAGAGGGAAAGAGTGAAAGCTGGAAGAGTTGGAAGGACAGGAGACTGAGAGGAGTATTGGAGGTGGAGGAGTGGGGAGTTGAGGCCCATGGGGTGGGAAGGGGTTTATAAACTTGCTGAGGTATCCTGGCAGCAAAGAGGGGAAAACAGTGTATCCTAGTTTTAGTAAACTTTGCACTCAGTAACAAATACATGCCTTACATCTTGTCTAAACATTGTGTTGTGTTGGATATT